GAGGAGTTACAAAGTTTGAAACTAACAGGTCTAAATGTTTCTTGGACTGTGCTCACCTGAACTGAAATAACATCAAACTGGAACTCATAACTTCATGCTACAAACAAACAAAAAATTGGGAGGGTTTATACAACGTGACTGTCTGAAGCTTTAAATAGCATTCTGCAAAATACAAAAAAAAAAAAAAAACGTGTACTGAGTTTTAAATTATGGGAGGCACTTCTGGTTTGGGGAAATTCCACTCAAAAAGACCAAAACAACCATTTCAAATAATAAGGTTGCATTACAAATAATCTGGATCCGTCAATTTGACAGAATGAGATGTACATTTTCCTTCATGATTCATATTCAGATGTCAGGAGAATAACGTAATGCTTGGTATTTTAATGGGTATATCCACAAAGAGCTTTCTTTTTCCTAATTGTTTTCCCCCTTCCTATTCCACTGTAACAATATGAAACAAGACAAGATATACTGTGCATTTGTGGTCTTTTTTTCACTTTTAATCAGGAGTGTTCACTGGAATGTTACTAAAAAAAGGTCAATACAATATTTGCTATATGTCAAAATGATGGAAATCACTTTGAAATATTATCACGTGATCACTTTCATTCTATTATTATTATAATTTTTTTTTTTTTTAGATTTATGTTTGGCATTTGTGCCTGCACAGATCAGAGCTGACAGGAAGCAAAGTGGGAGAAAGATAGGGGGCAGGATCGGCAGGGGCGGACTTAGTGATTTGGGGGCCCTATAAGTAAATTTCCGGTATGGGCCCCAACACAATATGCTCTTTTACGCCTAACCCTTATTTTGCTCGCTCTCTCTCTCATAGGTTATAGCTATAATTAGTTTATTTATCCCCTCCACAATTTAAATATATAATTAGTCAACCTGATGCTGTTCTAAAGCCATATTAGGCTACTTTATTTTTTTCGGATCACAAAAGAAGACATTATAAAAGAAAAGGTTGCACTTGTACATTTAATGAACTATAAACTTCTTCAATATTTTCACAAAAAAGATTCAAATGTCATAAAAATGTCCCATGCAACTCGTTCCATATTCCGAGTGTTCTTCAGGCATACAGTAGGGTTTGCTGAGAAACAAATTCGAAAATGCAATCTGTTCTCGAAAATCTCCTGTCATCGCATTCGTGCAGTTAGACGAGTACGCGGCAGTTCGCGTTGGTGCGCCAAAGCACACAATAATCAAGCGAGTTACTTTGAAACATCAAGACAAATAAAATCATGACACAAAATACAATCTCTGCGGTTAATATATCCGTTCTGAGAAGGTCAGACAGTATTATACCACCTAGAAAGTGCTACTTCTATAATCTACTTCTACATCTACTTCTTCCGTTAATCAATGAAGCTGTCTGCACTGCACAATGAATTTCTTATTTACATTGTATCTACACGTTGTTATAATGAGAAGATTCGCGAGCTTGCAGAACTCAGCACCTGACAAAAACTAGGCATTTCAAGCGGTGAGTGAACATTTGAGGCTTTCCATAACACAAATACACACCGGAGCGTTTGGTAAATACGTTTCGCCAGTATCAGATGGGGCCCCCTGATTCCTCAGGGCCCTAAGTGGCCGCTTACTTCGCTTGTTGGTTAAGTCCGCCCCTGAGGATCGGGAAGGGATTCGAACTTGGGCAGTAGCGCTGTATATATGTCCAGTTATGACATTTTGATTAAACATTACAAGGTCAGAATAATTTTTTTAAAAATTGAAACATAGGCTACACACAGATGAATTGTTCAAAGTAAGATCTATAATAATAGAAAATCGAAAATTTAGAAAAAAATATTTAGTGCCACTTGTTTTTGTAATTCAGTGCTAGGCAATATAAGGAGCCTATAGTGTTATACATATATATTTAATGAAAAAATAAACAACTTCGCTTATTTGCAATGTCAATAATTGTGGAAATGCAGGGGTCCATAAAATGTGACTCATCTGATGTCATCATCGCGCGAAAATGGCCATAACGAATAAAGAAAAGACAGAAGTCTTAGCTAAAATTTTGCTAAAGTTCATAGTAGAGTCATTCCACGAAACTGGTACGATTTGAGTCCCTCTGACCTTTTTAAGTGTATTTTATCTATTGGGTCCCCAAAATCTATTTTTAAAAGCTTTTTGTATTAATTGAAATGTCTCCTTTAATAAGGTTTAAAAACATGACATACATTTTATCTTTATATTAGAAATGATCTTGTTTTTTTCAGTTGACACCACCTATTTTGTCATGTCCCTCATGGCCTTCTATAAAAGTGTACTTGGGATATGAATAATAAAATTAGAAAAAAGTCCATACATTTTGCCATTCTCATAAACAGCACTTCACTTATTCCACATTTTGTTGTTATTCCAAAATGGATTAAATTCATTATTTTCTACAAACATACCCCATAATGACAAGGTGAAAGAATTTTGTTTGAAATCTTTCCTATTTTTGAAAAATAGGAACCTTATTTTTGAAACCTTTTTTAAAAATAAAAATAAACGGGGAAAAAAATCACATGTACATAAGTATTGCCATGACACTCAAAATAGAGCTCAGGTGCATCCTGTTTGCACTGATCATCCTTGAGATGTTTCTACAACTTGATTGGAGTCGACCTGTGGTAAATTCAGTTGATTGGACAGGATTTGGAAAGGCACACAACTGTCTATATAAGGTCCCACAGTTAACAGTGCATGTCAAAGCACAAACCAAGCCATAAAGTCCAAGGAATTGCCTGTAGATCTCCAAGACAAGATTGTATCAAGGCACAGATTTCGGGAAGGATACAGAAAAATTTCTGCTGCATTAAAGGTTTGCAGAAGCATGTAGTCTACGTTACTCTTAGTGGAAGAAGTTTGAAACAACCAGGGCTGCGTTTCCCAAAAGCATTGTATGCTTAAGTTGATTGTAGCTCCATTGGTTTCAATGGGTCTACGATGTACCTAAGTTTATGATGCTTTTGGGAAATGCAGCCCAGGACTCTTCCTAGAGCTGATGGCCTTCTGGCCAAACTGAGCAATCGATGGGGAAGGGCTTTGGTTAGACTGGTGACCAAGAACCTGATGGTCACTCTAGTTGAACTCTATGATCATATGTGGAGACAGGAGAACCCTACAGAAGGACAAACATCACTGCAACACTCCACTGATCTGGGCTTTATGGCAGTGTGGCAGGACTCAATCCTTTCTTCAGTGAAGACACATGAAAACACACTTGGAATTTGCAAAAAAGCACCCAAAGAACCCTAAGATTGTGAGAAACAAGATTATCTGGTCTGCTGAACCTCAATTCCAAGCATCATGTTTGGAGGAAACCAGGCACTGCTCATCACCTGCAGAGTAACAGCCCAACCGTGAAGTGTGCTGGTAGCAGCCTCATGCTGTGGGGCTGTGTGTTCAGCGGCAGGGACTGACGGACTCCTCAGAGTAGAAGAAAAGCTCAACACAGCAAAATATAGAGATAGCCTTAATGAAAACCCTGTCCAGAGCATTCAGAACTTCAGACTGGGCAAAAGGTTCACCTTCCAACAGGACAATAACCCTAAACACACAGCCAAGATAACAAAGGAGTGGCTACGGGACAACTCTGTGAATGTGCTTGAGTGGCCCAGCCGGGCTTTATGGTGGTGTGGCAGGACTCAATCCTTTCTTCAGTGAAGACACATGAAAACACACTTGGAATTTGCAAAAAAGCACCTAAAGAACCCTAAGATTGTGAGAAACAAGATTATCTGGTCTGCTGAACCTCAATTCCAAGCATCATGTTTGGAGGAAACCAGGCACTGCTCATCACCTGCAGAGTAACAGCCCAACCGTGAAGTGTGCTGGTAGCAGCCTCATGCTGTGGGGCTGTGTGTTCAGCGGCAGGGACTGACGGACTCCTCAGAGTAGAAGAAAAGCTCAACACAGCAAAATATAGAGATAGCCTTAATGAAAACCCTGTCCAGAGCATTCAGAACTTCAGACTGGGCAGAAGGATCATGATGCTTCTGCCCATCTCGGAGGTTGAGGAGCCCAGTGCGGAAGCTGGAGGAGCTGAACACGCAGTGCCAGCTGAAGCTTGGGCTCTGATCCTCTGGGGTGGGTGGGGCCTTACAATTTTATTATTTTCTTTTTTCTTGATAGCAATACAGATTCATATGGAAGCCCATTTCCGCAACTGAATAAAAAATAAAAAAGGTAATTGCGACTTTTTATATCACAATTTTTACTTTTTTTCTCAATTTCGTGATACAAACTCGCAATTCTGACTTTTTTTTGCAGAATTGCATGATATAGACTAAACTCGCAAGTTAAAAAGTCATAATTGTGAGATATAAACTCGCAATTCTGAGAAATAAAGTCAGAATTGCGTGATATAAACTCACAATTCTGATTGTGATATGAGTTTATATCTTGCAATTCGGACTTTATAATTTTATAATTATAATTGTGACTTTATAATTGTGAGACTTTATAATTGTGAGTTATAAAGTCAGAATTGTGAGATATAAACTCGCAATTCTGAGAACATATTTATATCACGCAATTCTGACTTTATAACTCACAATTGTGAGTTTATATCAAGCAATTCTAAGAGAAAAAAGTCAGAATTGTGAGATAAAAAGTCGCAATAACCTTTTTTTAAAGGGGTCATATGATGCGATTTCAAGTTTTCCTTTCTCTTTGGAGTGTTACAAGCTGACTGTAGATAGATAAGATCCCTGAAGTTGCAAAGACTAAAGTCACAAACCCAAAGAGATATTCTTTATCAAAGTTAAGACTCTGCCACGCCCTCCTTAAACGTCTCGTTCTAACACGCCCCCATATATCTACCTGAAAAATAATTTGTTTTTTGAACATTAAAGCATGTCAACATATTCTGTTACACCAAATACACAAAATAAAGATCTTTAAAAAAGCATCATATGACCCCTTTAAATTTTTTATTCAGTGGCGGAAACGGGCTTCCGCAAGATATACAGTAGGTGGCGGTAATACTCCTGAGGAGTGAACGGCCATTGAACAAAAAGAAGAAGCAGAAGAAGAAGAAGAAGTCATCAACGCTCTCCTTCTGTCCGTCGCATCCAGGCAGCTCAAGGCTAACGACCCTCTGAATGAAAATGCCGTCGTCTTTATTCAACATTCCCTTGGTTTCTTTTATACTGGTTTTTATTGCGTCACATTTCGGAGAGGTGTTCGCCGATGGTAAAGGACGAGGTAAAAATGTTTATAAATTTAGACATTGGATCAAATAATCCCTATTAACGCTAGCCATGCTAGACCACCGGCTTCTGACCCGGAACGCGGAGCTAATGTAACGTTAACCCCCGATTGACCGAAATAAATCTCAGTAAGGCTAAATGTCTACTGCTAAAATACAATATTATATCTATTCCTGTATTAGTGAAAGAGTATGTTTTATTAAAGGTTGAGCTCATTATAAACCTCAGTTGATGGGATTTTGCGCCGCAATTAAGACTAGTGATCATAAATGATCAGATGTATTTAGATGTAAAATTATGCACTTTGACTGACGTGCCTCTGTCATGGCATTGTGTATTGGACGAAAGACTATGATGAGATCTCTGATCACAGGTGCATTGTTGCAGATCTCTTTGTTCTGTGGTTGTAGTCGTGGCTTGTTCCAACAGGTACACTTGTTCCTAACCGGATGTAACATGTTAAATATCTATAATGGACTTGTATGTGCATTCAAGGATTTGGGGACCATATTAACTGGAGGAGCCTTGAAGATGGGAAGAAGGAGGCAGAAGCAAGGTACATATGGCATAATCTTGTCCTTCAATATTCTTTGTAATGTTACTTTGTAACATTGTAGTTTAGGTATTTCTATAAAAGGTAGGCCTATGCCAGACTTTAATTAACTGGTCAGGTTCAGGCACTTAACCCTATAAAGCCTGCTGTATCATATTTGAAAAACACATTTCAAAGGGTTTAACAGCAGGATCAAAAATTTGCTGAAAAAACAAAAACAGTTGTACACAATCTACTACATGGCTCCTGTCATCTGATTGGTAGTTTATACTTTTTAAAACAAATAAAATGCATTTTACAGGTGGTAATATGTATTTATTTATCTTTTGCTGTCAAGTCTTTACTGAGTTACTTACTAACACATATTATTGGTAGACATAGAGTGGCGATATAGAGCATATTATGCAATTAGCTATACTGTAATATCTAATTGATTCACATTACAGTCTATTAGAATTTCATCTTACTTTTTCTCCCATGTATATATCTATATTTGCACCATTTTTTTTTCTTTCCTCGAATATGAACAACATATTCTCCTTTATTATGCTATGTAAGCCATAAGAGCCCAGTGTATCAAATGTGATACTCAACAAAATATTTTTTTAGATAGCTATTTAGTATTTACAGGGTTAATTTATTATTATTATTATTATAATTTGATTATTTACACAATGGCAAGCAAATTACCAGGATCCCTAGCAGAATGGAATTATGCTGAGTGTTGTTCCATGAGATACTGCGAGTTATCTTGTTGTTATCTTGAAACGTTTGCTTTTGAATGAATTGTTTTAAAAGTGATTTAACAAATGTAATTCTGATCTCGTTCCAGTGGACTCCCTCTGATGGTCATTATTCACAAGACTTGGTGTGGAGCCTGTAAAGGTATGATGCTGGTCTATATAATGAATATCTGTCATAAGAACTGAAATACAATATTTTTTTATTATTATTATTATTTTTTAATATTGTTAAATACAAACAGTAATACTGTTATGTAAATTACTACAATTTAAAATGATATATACAGTGCTTAATTTGAGCTGGATCCTGTCGGATCCTGTTCCGGAAATGTCAGATTTTGGATTTTTGCATTCCGGTAATTGTTTTTAAGGATCCGGCATTAGAGCATATGTTTATGTATTTGGAGGTTATTGGTCCTCAACATATTTTTGACCGTGACCAGTCAGCTTTCTTAAGTTCAAACTTGCTCTCATTGATTGGTGCTTAGCCTACTGCTTATTGTTTTGTGAGCAGCCTAACATTTGGAGAGAGTGTAATAATACCAGAAATAATACTAAATAAAGTTAAATATTATATTGTATAAACATTATAAACATGGCTATATGTTAGTATAGCTCACTCTAAAACAAATCATATAAATGTAATGGTATTCAGAACAGAACAAGAATGAAATAAAAAAATATATAAACCTAAAGAAACCAAAACAAAGTGAAACTGAAAGTACCAGGTGTTACTGGGCTCACATAGGGCCTACCTCTTATTTGACACAAATCCTAATGTTTCCATATTCGCAATGTATTTGAATGAAACTATTATTTATAATGTAGAGGTTTTGTACTTCACGTGCGTTCGTATATCGACAGAAATATCCTCTTCACATGAGCAAAAATGTGCTTGGCATACAAAGTGGACCAGTTATACCACGGACTATATATATACTATATTTTTGGTTGACTGTATTTTATTTTGATAATGAACATACTGCGATGTCAAGTTTGAGTTACGAATATGTGGTGTGTGTGTGTGTGTGCGTGAACAGCTGAAACATAAAATTAGAGCCCGACCGATATATCGTTTTGCCGATATTATCGGCCGATATGAGCCTGTTTCGCCGATATATCGGTATCGGCGAATATGCCGCCAATATGCTGCCGATATGAAATTTTTTTTTTTTTACAGAACATATAACACAGCTAAAATGCTTGAAATGGTGTAATTACTTAGTTTGTCCAGCAGAGTGCACTCTATTGTTTGCTACTGCAGACCTGGATGAAACACTTTAAAGCTTAGTCTATGGAAAACCATTGAAACTTTGAACGGCCATATCTCCGTAACAGCGCTGCCAATCCGCACCAAATTCGGGGCATCTCTTCAGCTCGAGGAACCCTCTCGAACGCGAATCGAGTGTACTTCTAGAGGCCCACTTTCGAATGAGACCACACCACATTCAAAGGGCATTAAAGTGCGCGAGAAGTGAATTTATATTAGGGATGCATCGAATGTTCGTCGTCAACCACAGTGTGGAAGCATTTAAACTGTCGGAGAAAGACGCAAAAATCGTTACAAGCACCAACAGCGAGAGACTGTTTAGTGCTGCAGCGCATGTCTTCGATGAGAAGAGGAAGGGGTGATTGTTGCTGGTTACTGTATGATGATTGAAATCGGGAAATGGCCTTAAACAATTAGTAAATAAACTGCAGAACGTTATGTTTTCTAATACACGCACGCATTGCATGTATTTTGACAGCGCTGCACGAACTCTCAGCAGATCTGCTTGTTAACCAGGGTTCAAAGTCCAAAGCGCGAGGAAAATCTATGCTGATACAGTCGTCAGTTGCTCAGTCACATTTTTATGAATTTTTACAAGGCATGTGACAATGCGATACGTATGACGAATCCGTAATGAGACTCATTTATAAATCTATTGTCAGCAAAAATAAGCATTGAGGTCTTCCTGCGCGTTTCCACCAAAATATAAGTTGAGAAAAAGCAAGAACTCTTATCAACATTCATAAATGTTAGTATTGTAATTTTACTGTTGTTCTGTAAAATAAAATAAAAAGTAAGACAATAATAATGATGATAATCATTACAACAGCTCTATTTTAATACATTTATTATAACATTCACACATAGAGTTCAAATTAGGATCTGTAATATTTTCTAATGTTTTAAGAAGTCTTTTCTCAGCAAGGCTGCTTTTAATTGTACAGTAAAAAACAAACAAAAAAAAACATGCCTGATTCAAGAAGGGGGTCTGATGGCCAAAAATAATTATATTACTAACTTATTAATTTTAAGTTAAATTGTGCTTTGTTGGTATAGTGTCTGCTAGAATGTTAAAAATGTTCAGTGTTAAATATTTTTAAATTGTTTATTTGTAATTGATTTTTTTTTTTTTGAAAAGCAAAACAAAACAGTAAAAAGCACATTTTGGCTTTTTAATTTATGCAATGGTGGAAAAAGGTATATGAAATAAATGCCCTGCCTCCATTACGTATCTCTGTCACGTCATTGTAAGTGTTTGATCACCACATTTGAGTGATCATTGCAAAAAAATTGTTTATGTGTATATATTCTGTTTATGTTTCTATATATGTTTCTATATATAGTCAAATGTTTGGACACACGAATGGGAAAGTGTCCAAACTTTTGACTGGTATTGTACTATAATATACACAAAGAATATCGGCCGATATATCGATATCTGCCTTTTTTTTACGCCATAATATCGGTATCGGTATCAGCCCCAAAAAACCCATATCGGTCGGGCTCTACATAAAATACATAATTTTTGGTCATAAAGATAAGAGTAAGACATCATTCGAAAGCACAAAGTGTTTACTTTTACTTTTGCACCCTCAAAATAACGACAGAACATTTGTGATTTTGTAAAATAAAGCAAGGATGCGCGTTTAATTAAAACTTATTTAAAGGGTTAGTTCACCCAAAATTGGGCTGTGTTTTACTCACCCCTGTGCCATCCTAGGTGTATATGACTTTCTTCTTTCAGACGAATCCAGTCGGAGTTATATAAAAAATGGTCTTTGATCTTTCAAGCTGTTTAATGCCACTCAGTGGGTGTTGCATGCATCAGTCCAAAATAAGTTAAATAAAAAGTGCCCATCCATTAAAAAAACATCTCACCCGGCTCTGGGGGGGTTAACATAGTCCTCCTGTAGCGAATCTATACGTTTTTGTAAGAAAAATATATGTTTTAAGAAGTCTTTTCTCAGCAAGGCTGCTTTTAATTGTACAGTAAAAAACAAACAAAAAAAAACATGCCTGATTCAAGAAGGGGGTCTGATGGCCAAAAATAATTATATTACTAACTTATTAATTTTAAGTTAAATTGTGCTTTGTTGGTATAGTGTCTGCTAGAATGTTAAAAATGTTCAGTGTTAAATATTTTTAAATTGTTTATTTGTAATTGATTTTTTTTTTTTTGAAAAGCAAAACAAAACAGTAAAAAGCACATTTTGGCTTTTTAATTTATGCAATGGTGGAAAAAGGTATATGAAATAAATGCCCTGCCTCCATTACGTATCTCTGTCACGTCATTGTAAGTGTTTGATCACCACATTTGAGTGATCATTGCAAAAAAATTGTTTATGTGTATATATTCTGTTTATGTTTCTATATATGTTTCTATATATAGTCAAATGTTTGGACACACGAATGGGAAAGTGTCCAAACTTTTGACTGGTATTGTACTATAATATACACAAAGAATATCGGCCGATATATCGATATCTGCCTTTTTTTTACGCCATAATATCGGTATCGGTATCAGCCCCAAAAAACCCATATCGGTCGGGCTCTACATAAAATACATAATTTTTGGTCATAAAGATAAGAGTAAGACATCATTCGAAAGCACAAAGTGTTTACTTTTACTTTTGCACCCTCAAAATAACGACAGAACATTTGTGATTTTGTAAAATAAAGCAAGGATGCGCGTTTAATTAAAACTTATTTAAAGGGTTAGTTCACCCAAAATTGGGCTGTGTTTTACTCACCCCTGTGCCATCCTAGGTGTATATGACTTTCTTCTTTCAGACGAATCCAGTCGGAGTTATATAAAAAATGGTCTTTGATCTTTCAAGCTGTTTAATGCCACTCAGTGGGTGTTGCATGCATCAGTCCAAAATAAGTTAAATAAAAAGTGCCCATCCATTAAAAAAACATCTCACCCGGCTCTGGGGGGGTTAACATAGTCCTCCTGTAGCGAATCTATACGTTTTTGTAAGAAAAATATCCATATTCAAAACGAAATAATCACTTTAATCTAGCTTGTGCCAACAGTTGTACACGGAAGCAGCTCCGGGCTGATGACGTATGAGTTCAGCGTTGCGCATGCAATGGTGAGTCTCGTGAAAACCAATGTCTGTTTACAGGATCAAAGGAAGCAAAGTTTCCTTACTTTAGCAAAGGAAAACAAGTCTCCTCTTGGCTTATATCGAAATCCTCTGACATTCTTCTTTACAAATCCTCGTTTTGTACTTCTAATTAGTGACCGTTGTTTTGTTTTGACCTCTCCGCTGCGTTTCCGCTTGCATCACTTCTGAGCGGCGCATGCGCAAAGCCAACCTCATACGTCATCCACCCGGAACTGCTTCCATTTACAACAGTGAGCGCTAGCTAGATTAAAGTGATACATTTGAATATGGATATTTTTCTTAAGAAACTGCATATTCACTACAGAAGGCCGTTCACCCCCCGGAGCCGTGTGAGACGGGTTTTTTAATGGATAGGCGCTTTTTATTTAACTTCTTTTGGACTGATGCATGTATATATTCTGTTTATGTTTCTATATATGTTTCTATATATAGTCAAATGTTTGGACACACGAATGGGAAAGTGTCCAAACTTTTGACTGGTATTGTACTATAATATACACAAAGAATATCGGCCGATATATCGATATCTGCCTTTTTTTTACGCCATAATATCGGTATCGGTATCAGCCCCAAAAAACCCATATCGGTCGGGCTCTACATAAAATACATAATTTTTGGTCATAAAGATAAGAGTAAGACATCATTCGAAAGCACAAAGTGTTTACTTTTACTTTTGCACCCTCAACCTATACTATGATTTTATGAATTTTGTTATTTTCAATGTATCTTAGAGATACATTTTCCTAAAATCATCCTGGCAACCCATTTTTGACCCAGGGTTTGAAGCTGTTGCCTAGTTAGGTTAATGCAGAAACTTTTTTTTTTAAATTATTGCTCAAAAATCAAGAACAGTACACACACAAAATAATACAACCATCAACATAAAAATTATTAAAAATAATAACAAAAAATTAAGTAAAAACAAATTAAGAAGAAGAAAAAAGGGGGGTGTTTAATACATTACAAACTGAAAAAATAAAATTGACACTTAAAATAAGAAAAGAGTTAGTCAGATAAAGCTTTTTTGTTCTGAGACAACTGGATCGATGAAAGGTATTGCTCAAATTCTTTTATAAAAACAAGAAAGAGAGGTCTGGAGTTTAAATATTTGCATCTATGGATGTGAAATTTATCAAGAAGCAAAATCAGATTCACTACATAAAACTGGTTCCTTTTAGATTGTTCATACTCTATAAAACCCAGTACTACGTCCTACGTTCCAAAATAGAATACATTCATTATAAAAGTTACTCCTAATGAAACTTAAAACATCTTGCCAAAATTTCTTTGTAAATGGACAGATCCAAAAGAGATGAACAGCCGTTTCAACCGAGTCATCACAAAAAGAGCAACTGGAGGAAATATCACTTTTGAATTTTTTTTATGTAATGCTTTGCAGGATAGAACTTATGAATTATTTTGTAGGATATCTCCTTTACTTTGTTAGTTAGTAAATAAGTATGAGGAAGCATCCATACTTTTTTCCAGCAGATGTTACCCACTGCATTATTCAAATAAGCAGTCACAGCTGGCAGAGTAATAATATTCTGCTGAAATAATGAACGGACTATCCTATTATTATTTTTGCATACATAATCTACCAACAAAAGTATCAACCAAATTAAGAGAAACCGGTGACAAAGGATGGGTACCTCTCAGTATAGCAACAACCGCTGATGGGATAGACCCCATAACTATGGAAAATAATTTTGTAGAGACTTGAATGTGATCTGAAAATTCTTTATCTGAAAATAACAACTGTAAGAAAGGCCGCGCAGTTAACTGAACAATCACATATGCGCAACTCCGGTGCAGACTGACATGCTTCAACACAACCTGAGTGCATGCAAATAAGCGACGAGCAGCGCTCCGTTCTCTTTCAAGCATACGTTTCGGGGTCTCACTATGGGATACGCCCCTTCCGCGTATTCCTAGAAGCCCTATTACATTACGCCAGCCCCATTTGGCTGGAAGACGTGATGTTGTGTCTGGGAGTGGCCTCCCCACCCCTCAGTATAAAGAGCACAACACAACGTCACCACGACATTCAAAAACCTCTTCTCGCTTCACACCAGAAGCCTACGAATTAGGTATACTTTTAACAAACTCCTGGACGAACAACTGGCCTCCATGCCATTTTTCGCCTGGCTCCTTCCATTTGCATTCCAGCCGATTGCAAGGACTGTTCGATATTACGATGGCTTCTTTCAGACGAATCCAGTCGGAGTTATATAAAAAATGGTCTTTGATCTTTCAAGCTGTTTAATGCCACTCAGTGGGTGTTGCATGCATCAGTCCAAAATAAGTTAAATAAAAAGTGCCCATCCATTAAAAAAACGTCTCACCCAGCTCTGGGGGGGTTAACAAAGTCCTCCTGTAGCGAATCTATACGTTTTTGTAAGAAAAATATCCATATTCAAAACGTAATAATCACTTTAATCTAGCTTGTGCCAACAGTTGTACACGGAAGCAGCTCCGGGCTGATGACGTATGAGGTCAGCGTTGCGCATGCGACGGTGAGTCTCGTGAAAACCAATGTCTGTTTACAGGATCAAAGGAAGCAAAGTTTCCTTATTTTAGCAAAGGTGGGATGGACCCCATAACAATGGAAAATTATTTTGGAGACAGGAAATTGAAAGTGATCTAAAAATTATTTTTATGAAAATAACAACCCTTGAGAGTTCATTAACTGACTGATCAACAGTATGTTTTTATCAAACCAACTCTAAAAAAAAAAAAAACATTACTGTTACTCCAAATAAAAAATCTGTGGGGTGAAAAGTTGTGCTTGAATATTAGCGACCAAGCCAAGAAATGAACGGACTATCCTATTATTATTTTTGCATACATAATCTACCAACAAAAGTATCAACCAAATTAAGAGAAACCGGTGACAAAGGATGGGTACCTCTCAGTAAAGCAACATCAGCTGATGGGATGGACCCCATAACAATGGAAAATTATTTTGGAGACAGGAAATTGAAAGTGATCTAAAAATTATTTTTATGAAAATAACAACCCTTGAGAGTTCATTAACTGACTGATCAACAGTATGTTTTTATCAAACCAACTCTAAAAAAAAAAAAAACATTACTGTTACTCCAAATAAAAAATCTGTGGGGTGAAAAGTTGTGCTTGAATATTAGCGACCAAGCCAAGAGAACCTGACTATGGAAAGCAGATAATGTAGCCGGTAGTTTTATCAATTTTATAGTTACACACAAGACGAAAATCAAGTCCACCAAATTGAAAGAAAACATAATTGGGAATAAAGTTACACAAAGACCCTGGGTTCTTTCTAAACCGTTTAAGCCAATTGATCTTAAAGGTGTAACTTGAAGTACTGAAATCCCCAAAATTAAGACCACCTATCACATGTGTTCGTTACAACAGATTTTCCAATATAATGTATTGAACACTTCCATAAAAAATTAAGAGTAGCTGGTCAGTACTTTTACCTAATTTTGGGTCCAGACTAGGGCTGCATTATGACAAAAATCCTAATTGTCGATTATTGCCTTGAAATTGTAATTGCGATTATTAATTACGATTATCACAATTTACATTGAATGATGTTTATACCATTGTTTGATGCAACTGCATGCCGTATTTTTATATGAAAATAAACAAGCTGAAAACACTCTAACCGAAAAACTTTTAGTGCTTTTCAATAGTATTAAGCCTCAAATGTCAACTATACATCGGTTTGGTTTCTTCTTTAAATTATAAAAAAAGTAAAAATATAAATGGTATTATAGTGTTATACTAAAATTAAAACAATGGAAAAACCCTTAAGATGACATGTAGAAATAAAAAAGCATCTTAAGCGTGCAGAATAACATAAGTGGACTTTGAACGATTAATTGCCGCTTTGAACGATTACGTAATTGTGGCATCCATAATTGTAATCGCGATTAGAAATTCGATTAATTGTGCAGCCCTAGTCCAGAGGAACAGACTGAGCGACATAAATAAGCCTCGGAAGGCCTTCTGCTTTTGTGAGAAATACCCTACCTCTCAAAGATAGATCCATTTGTAGCCACTGGTTAAATCTTTTCTGTGTTTTATCAATAAGGGCTTGGTAATTAAGATTACATCTTTCTTTCTGATCCTTAGTAATTAACACCTAGATAACAAATTATTTCTTTCACTGGGATATTATGGACAAAGGATTCATTACAGTCTTTAATGGCAAAAAGTTTGAATATTTAAGCATAAACCTGAAGCTTTAGAAAATTAATCAATAATATTTATTGCAAGTGGAATCTGCCTTTCATCTTTAAGAAAAAGGGTTGTGTCGTCAGCAAGCTGACCGATAACCACCTCTCTTTCAGCAATAGATACCCCTTTTAAACTGCTGGCTTTTATATGAGAACAAAGAATCTGAGCTGCAAGAAGAAAAAGGTCAGGGGAAATAGGCCAGCCCTGCCTAACGCCCCTCAATAATTCAAAACGACGAGTTGTTCCATGTTTTAAAATAACTGAACTACTACCGTTCGTATCTAAAGTTTTACGGAAAAAATGTCCAAATCCAAACTTTTCGAGACACTGAAAAATACATTTATGTTCCAACGTGTCGAACGCTTTATAGAAATCCAAAAAGAGAAGAAAGCTATCATCACTAATCAAACTGTAGTAATCTAAGACAGTAGTTCCCAACCCTGGTCCTGGAGGCACCCCAACACTGCACATTTTGCCTCCTTTCTCTGACACCAGTTTCAGGTCTTGGAGTCTCTACTAATGAGCTGATGACCTGAATCAGGTGTGATTGATTAAGGAGACATGCAAAACATGCAGTGCCTCCAGGACCTGGGTTGGGAACCACTGATCTAAGATATCAAAAACTAAACGTATATTATTTGAGGCATGTCTATTGTTGAGAAAACCAGACTGTGTAATATAAGAGCCAGAATTTTATAATCATTATTTAATAAACTCATTGGGCGCCAGTGTTCAATCAAAAGTAAATCTTTTTTTGGTTTGGGTATGAGGGTTATTATTCCTTGAGATACACTAGAAGGACGTTCATGGTTTTTGATACTCTCAGTGAAGACATTTAAAAGGAAAGGGGCAAGAATATCTGACAATTGTTTATAGAATTCTGCTGCAATGTCGTCATTGCCAGGTGATTTGTTACACTTAAGATGTTTGATAGAATCAACTACTTCTTCGAAGACTATATCTTGATCACAGCATTCTTTCTTAATGCAGAAACTTGTGAACGATGCTCTCTTATAAGTGTGACGTCATTTAATGTTCCGGGAACACTTAAGTTGTATTTTCAGTGTCGGTCACAGCGCCTTTTAATTGCTGTTTTGGATCCGGCAATTATTCATTTACAAATTAAGCACTGTATATATATATATATATATATATATATATATATATATATATATATATATTATAATTATTATTTTTTTCATCAAAAATGGTTGTGTTTGGTTGTGTTTTTGATGCATGAATGGCTTATTCTGTTACCTCGTAGTGTACAGATAATTTATGTTTTAAAAATAACTTTAGCTTTAAAGCCCAAGTTTGCTGAATCAAAGGACATCTCTGAGTTGGCTCACAACTTTGTCATGATTAACTTGGAGGTAAGGAGCTCCTCTTCTCATTATTTACTTTATGCTTTTCTCAAAATGCATATTTTAATTCCGTCAGAGAGGGGTAGATGGTTATAATGTGTTTTTGTTCCCCTGTATACATTTTCCCTGTAATATTTTCTTCTTTATTTTTTTTGTGTGGCTGAAACCACATGTAGTAATAAATACATATATTGTTAAGTAAGTGTGTTATTATATTTCACATTGTCATTACATGCCCCATGTGGCTATAGGATGAAGAGGAGCCAAAAGATGAGGCCTTCAGCCCAGATGGCGGATACATTCCAAGAATACTTTTCCTTGGTAGGTCATATACATAAACAAAAACCGCAAATGCGCTAGTTTAGAACATCAGCCATTGTTTAAAGGTAGACTCTTCCTTCAGATATTAGTGGCCTAATAAATGTCCATTTTTGTGGAGGTAAGAGTCAGTCACTTTATGGGTGTGGAAAAGTTTTTACCACATAACCAGAAGAATATGACTCCTTTTATCCCGGTAACCATCCTGTTACGGGACAGAATTGCAGAAACACATTACGGTTAAATAGTGTGATTCTACAATGCCACCATCAGTAGCATGACATTTTACTCTTGTGTGATGCTACATCCATACCTCAAGGTGTTAGTAAATGATCAAGGTGACTGTCACAACATAGATGGAAAAATTAGTTTTCTTCTTTTGTAGATCCCACTGGCAAAGTCCACTCTGAGATCACGAACAAGAATGGGAACCCCAGCTACAAGTACTTCTACAGCAATGCAGATCAAGGTAAGAAATTCCAAGAAAAAGAACATTTAAAAAGACAGACACACACACATTTTATTTATTTATTATCGCCCACTTTTTTTTTTTAGCAGCGCTGTTTTTGGAAGTATTTTTACCTTTCATATTTCCCATGGTGATTTAAAAAAGTCTTTGTTACAGCGTTAACTAAACCAACCAGCTGCAAGTGAATCACAAATTTACTAATTTTATTTGACGTATTTGAAAATCAGACAAAAAGACTGTGTAATTAACACTTTACCGAAGTAAAGAACTACAATCCCATGAACCATTGCGAATAGCTATGTTTCCATCCACCTATTTTTACGTGTATTTTGAAATCGCATAAAAAACGTTGGATGGAAACACCAAGATGTGCATAAATTCTAAAAATGCGCATTAAAAAAACGTATGCGCACAATTGAGTAGGATAAATTTATCCGATAAGAAAAAATGTGCATAAACGACGATGGAAACACATTTACCGAATAAATTCCTCAATGCGCATCGGAAAAGTCATGTGACTTTGCACGATGGGACGAGATAACTTGACTAACCATTGGACCGATCGCGCTGCACAGCTTCTGAAATGTTATGTTGTTACATGACTGCGTTCCCAATCAGCAGCATCCACCTCCGAAAGCAATGACCTTTTATTGTGTTTCATCTGCTCTCTCTGAGGTGCACGTTTTTTATCAAATATGAAAATGATTAAATTCAGTGGCTTCTCCTAGTTTACTTAGTGATATTTAGTGCCAGTTTACCAGAAAGTGACTATTTTGTTCTCTTTGACTCGTTGGATGGAACGGTGCTTTATTATCAAATGTTTTATGCGATACTCCAGTTTTGCACATAAGTTTCATTCAAATCTTTGGATGTATGAATGTATATCTATTATATAGAACTATCCATTTAAAGTTGTTGACCTTTGTACCTATAACAATACAATATAGTTTAAGTTTATTGCAAAATATGCGCATATATTTAATTGTTTTGAGAGCGTGGTAGACCGACTCGATTTATGATGCTTCATGGGAGTGGGCGGAGCTCAGCGATCATCTGGCGCGATTTGATCACGGCGACTCTCTGGTGGAGATTTCTTTACAGCCCAATAGGTAATGCAGTTTTTCACAAGGGATTCTGCTGTTAAACCCTATTATTTAAAGCATAACTTCAATAATGCAAAGTGATGGTGTCAACAGGTCTGCCTTTAAAGGTTTCTGAGTTCATGTTTAAAAATGAATTTCCCTATGGAGAAAACAAATGGCATTTTACTTCTGGAATCTGACTGTTGCACCCTGTAGAATAGGAACGCAATAGTTATGACGTAACATTTTGCTCAAATATTTTACAGTATTTTGAAAAATGTGATCATAAATAATGCAGTGTATTGACTTTCTGCTTTCTGTTTCTGCTGGCTTTGCTTCAAATGGCAAACTTTCCAATGGCAATGCAAAACAGGGCTGACTGTGTGTGCAGTCTGTTCTAAAGATGCATTTGAAAAACAAATGAGATTTTAGGTGCAATGTGAACAAAACTAGCGAGATGGCCCTTGACCACATTTCTCTTCTGTGTGCAGTTGTGGCTAGCATGAAGGAAGCTCAAGACAATCTGACTGGCGATACCTTCAGGACCCCTCACATCGGGGATGAACTCTAAGAAGAAGGGAAGAAGCGGCATGGAAAGATCTCAGCCAGAATACTGCATCACCTTACTGGCCACATTAGATCCATCCATCCATCTCCAACCTCAACTCCTCCTGCCATTTCATTTGATCTGCTATAGCACAAGACAAACTTCAAAAATGAAGGAATTTATAATGCGTTTACGGATTACATTTTAAAGTATCGCAGCTTGCGGTCGATTGGCTTATTACTTTGAGAACCAAAGCATACTTACTGTCCATGTCACATAAAGGGTGCTAAAAGTTTTTTTTTCATCTTGCATTTCAGAAATTTAAAGCTTACGTGTCCATATTGATTATTCATGTTGAAAACAATCGCCCCTCTTGACTGCATTCTTAAGGCACTCCATGTTTTTTAAGAAACATGCCAGTAAGGCAATGCTCATGTGCTTCCAAGCCATATCTTGCAAGCTGTGGTAATACTGATCCAGTTACACAGTCACTTTTATGAAGAGCTTTATAATCCCTAAACTGTACCCACCTAAAAACTATTATGTATGTTTTCATGAGCGTACCAGTTCTATTATGTTAAAAGTTATTAGAAATGCTAACAGCATCTCTTAAACTTGCCAAGTTTTAGTCCTCAATATATGGAGCCGGCTTTCATTTCAAAGACAGATTTTTACTATTGATAATACTTGTGAATTAATGCCTGTAATGTGAACTGATACTTTTTTCTTTTCTTTTTTTTTCTCTTTTGGGATTGAGGGGGAATTGTCCGTCTTCGCCATACTGTATTTTTTACCAATATGTAAAATGAGGCTACAAATAAAGTTGATATAAAATATTGGAATATAGTTATTTCAGTGTTAACTTGCACAGAGTAGAGTGAACAATATTTAAATCTATTTTATTTTAGCAATAAGTTTCCAAAAGGTACTTTAAGGAACTATCAAAATATCACCTGGTCTAATTAGTGCAACACTAACTTAATTATTTGCTGCATGGTGTTAAAACTGGATTTGAGCACATTAGAATTTAATCAAATTAAGTTGACAACCCATTTGTAAACCAAACAAACAAAAAGTGTTTCATATAAAAGGATCCCTAAACTACTGTTCAAAGGACTTAATAAGTAATGCTTTTTATTCATCAAGGATGCATTAAGTTTACCAAAAGTGACCGTAAAGACATGTATAATGTCACGAGATTTCTATTTCAAATAAATGCTGTTCATTTGAACCTATATGCAGCCTTGGTGAGATTTTATGAAAAAAAAAATAATAATTAAAATATCTTACTGGCCCAATTTTTTTTTTTTTTGGTAGTGTAAATGCATCTCAAAACTCTGTTTCATTTGTATTAATTAAAGGATAACTAACAATTTTTATATTCATATCCTACTTCCACATTATGGAGCTGTTTTGCCTGACAGGGCTCTTACACAAACCACAACCTCATGATTGTTGCTACAGCAGGGGGCAGTCATTTTCCAGATAGTCCTTTTGTTCCACTGTGAAACAGAAAATGGAAACTACTTTGCTATTGGTGGTGTTTACAGCAAGTCAAACCCCAGTGCAAAAACACCAAACAACATTCTGAGCATAATTCAATGCTGTTAAATAAGAATTAAATGGCATGCTGTGGTTTGAATTATAAACAGCAATCTTACCTGCCGTTGATAAGCTAAAAAACGATAAAATTCACAATGCAGTTTAATGCATGCATCCTTTTTCACCTTTAATAAATGTGAAAAACCAGGCAAAGACAAAACCTGTGATTTGAGCACAATAGAAATTGTTCATACAAAATTACATTGACAACACAAATGTGAAGGCACACAAAAACATACATCTATCATACAAAGTGATCCCTTATGGATTATATTTTACAATAAACTAATAACAATAAAATCAACAATGTGACCAATTCATTTGTGATATTTTTTAAATGAAATGCTTGGCACTATTATTTTTTTTGTGTGTATATTTTGAATTGACTACAATATGACAATCAGCTACTGAAACTGCAATTTCTCAAAAGTTTCATCATTTTATTAAATAAATTAAAGTCTAAAATAGCTCTGAAAAGACAACTGATGCATATCCATAATTCTATACAAAATTCTCTCTATGCAAAAGAGTGTTTCAAACATCACCCTTTCCCTTGGCTTTTTTTTTATATCATAAACTCCCAGCTTCACCTACAAATGCTAAACCACAGAAATAAAATTCTCTAGATTCTCATCATCCTGGTGCCTAACTGCTGTTGAAGCTCTTTGAAAGGCTTGAGAATGTATTATGTGAAGAAAAATACAGTGGTGATATTTACTATTATTTTTTGTTTATTATTTATTTGTGAAAATATTTTTGTCAATCACATAAATTCAAATGTTCAGCATGCTAGCTATAAACTGCATGACTCTAAACAGGATGCTCTTGATTTCAGCTCAGTTTTAATGTGTGGTGGTGGTGTGTGTGTGTGTGTGTAGCAGTGCTTAAAACCGTCCCTGTTTAGCATCACCGATGGCTCCCCAGACGTCGAACACAAACTCATCTGGGAAGGCAAAGTCACCAAGAGCCTTGTCCAGAGCCATGGCAAACTCATCAGGGTTCTTCTTATCTCTGCCCACCTCGACCATTGTGGCGGCTGTACAGAAGTGAAGAGGATACAGTCATCTCGTTTTGCAATACTTAAAGCCTGACACATTTTAGTAATATTTGTTAATGCAACAAACCATTGCAAAAGGCAATTTGGTACCAAGATTTTGGTACTGTGTGGTTACCCAACACAGTACCATATACAGTGGTGTGAAAAAGTGTTGGCCCCTTCCTGTTTTTTAAATTTTTTGCATATTTGTCACACTTAAAAGATTCAGATCATCAAACAAATTTAATTTTTACACAAAGATAATGCAAGTAAATACAAAATGCCGTTTTTAAATGATTATATATTTTATTAAGGGAAAAAAGCTGTCCAAACCTGCCTGGCCCTACGTGAAAAAGTAATTGCCCCCTAAATCTAATAACTGGTTGTGCCACGCTTTGCAGCAACAACTGCAATCAAGAGTTTGCGATAACTGGCAATGAGTCTTTCACATCGCTGTGGAGGAATTTTGGCCCACTCTTCTTTGCAGAATTGTTTTAATTCAGCCACATTGGAGGGTTTTCGAGCATGAATGGACTGTTTAAGCATCTCAACCGGATTTAAGTCCGGACTTTTTATTTGGCCACTCCAAAACCTTAATTTAAACGTGTCAGAAGTGTAAAATATAAACTCAGAATCGCAACATTGAGAAAACACAGTCACCATCTCCTCGACTGTTGCAGGACCCTTGGAGCGCAATCTGAGGGTTTCTCTCCCTGTGCCTATCTTGCCATCTCCTGACGATTTGCCGCCGCCTCCACCTCCTCTTGACCTTGGTTCAAGCATCTCTGCCAAGTGAAATTTTTTTTTTTACATTAAATCTACATTAATCAACACAGTAACATTTAATAGACCACATAATGTATAGCAATAGGGATAACAGTAACAATAACAGTTCTAGAATTTATTAATACTTATTTTTCCATCTGGACTTCAAAAAATTATTAAATAAAAATTTCTAAGCCTTGAATCAAATAAGAAGCTTGGATATAAATTACAACATTAAAAACTTGGATATGAGGCAAAAAAGACAGTGTATTTAATGTATTTCATTAGGCAATTAACTACTAATCAAGTATGGCGAATTATGTAAAGAAAATTTGAGTATAAAACGTCAAATACATAAAAGATTGTACGTTTTTTTTTCAAGCTTTCTTGCTGCAGTACACATTGCCATGCCTTCTCTGATTGGTGGATCTCTCTTGAGGATTATGGGTAGTGTAGTTCTTCATTGGGAATTCAGCAATTAAAGGGGTCATATGTTGTCATATTTTGTGTATTTGGTGTAATGAAATGGGTTTATGCAGTTCAAGGTTCAAAAAACACATTATTTTCCACATACTGTACATTATTGTTTCTCCTCTATGCCCCGCCTTTCTGAAACTTTTTTTGATACTTGAAATTTTTTACAAAGCTCATCAGTCTGAAAAGTGAGGTGTGCTCTGATTGGCCAGCTATCCAGTGCATTGGCCGAATACCTCAAGCGTGTGATGGAAATGTTACGCCCCTTACCATACTGTGATGCCCTGTCCGGCCGGAGCGACGAGACAAAAACATTAAAACCCATTATAAACTAGGCATTTATTGCATACAGTGGGGACATAATTACGGATTATAATGACTTATACTGTCTTTTACGCGTTGCATTGCGCCGCGTAAACATAAAACAATGACAAACTACAAACACTACTACACTGCTCAAAACTCACATTTGAATCATCAGTGGCAAATTCTTTAAATATGTGAGTCAGAACAGCCGGCATTGTAGTCTACTCTCCCACGATCAGGAAACAGTCCTCCATAAAATGCGTTGCACACATCTGAATATTTGAGTTGAACTGTTCTGGATCAGTGTTGTAAATACAACTTAACCTCTGATTTCTAGTCGTGTCCTCATTTGGAAGGCCAAACAAAGTATTTTTGCTTTCGCAACGAAACACACAGTGTCTTCACAACATGGCGGCGGCGGTGGCAGCAACAATAAAGCTACGCCTTCTTTTCTTTCGATCTTCCCACATCGTGACATAGACATGTGGGGGCTTGTTTAAACGAGGCATTTTAGGAGGGCGTGGACGAGTATTAACTTTTATAAAGAATATCTCTTTGGGTTTGAGACTTTAGTCTTTGCAACTTTAGGAATCTTATCTATTCACGAACAGCTTGTAACACTCCAAAGAGAAAGGAAAATATGACCCCTTTAAACATTGTTCTTTAAAAATGAAATTAAAATCATTGACTTTTGGCTTCTTCAGAAGCAAATACCATCCCTTATCAACCTTAGAGCTCAAGAGCAGTCTGTAGTATAAGATGTATACTTTAATGTTAAAAATAAATTTCTGTATTGAGAATATAAATGGGATATTTTAGTTCAGAAACTACTGTTGCACTCTACTGTCTAGATTTTTTTTTTTTTTTGCATACACCAGTCACATACAATGTTCAAAACCAAAAAATCCAGACAAAATTAGTACTTCAACAAGAATGAATGACAAACCAAAGGCTTTCATGGACTCCACGAGTTTGATGGTGAAAGACTGATCCTTGGGCAGCTCCTTCAGCATTCGTGCCACCTCAAAATGCCGCATTCCAACGATGTTCTTTCCATTAATGCATTCGACATGATCTCCCACACAGATCACCTTTACCCCATCCACCACACTGCCCTCTTTGATACGCTGCCAAATGGAAAAACAGATACGCTTCATATTTAATAATAACTTTTGTTAACATGTTAAAGTAGCAATAGAACAAATGCATTTTTGGCATACTTTTAATTTAACCACTAACTAGGCTTAAAATAATATGAATAAAGAATTAAAAAAATGCACTTTGCTTTGAAGATACAAATCCAGCATTCAGAGTACTACAGCATGTGATCTTACAAACACAGGGTGGCGATCTTCTAAATTAAATGATTAACTTTTCTCAATCAAAGCTTGGCTAAAAAGAGATTAAATACCACTTTTATTTGTGCACAGGGATATTTTACAATTTACAGAAAATCATAAAGTACTCTTCAAGCACTAAATTTGTTTACTTTCAAAAACATGCAAATCATTGTCTGTACATGGGCAGTGCTAGTACTACAAGCTATGAGCTCTGCACTTGGAAAACTAATTACACTGCTAAAGGGGTGGCATCCCAAAATAACACCCTGATCTAACAAAAGCGTCATTGTGAGTCTACCTTTATGAAGGCGTATCCAGCTCCATTGTCTGTGATGGTGAGCCCAAGTGCCTCCTCAGCTTTGTACACCTCCACCTCCTTTTTGAGCCCTTTTATGTGAGCGAAGATGAAGTCCTCCAGTCCTATCTGCCCTCCCAGCAGCTTTTCCATATCAATTTTGTGGGTGTTGAGTGTGCAAAATAGGATCTGTTGTAATACATCGAGAGGAGAGTTTCAACTATAATGAGATGGCAAGTTTTAAAGTCAGAGAACAATGAGAACATGGAGGATTTATGCAAATGTACTAAATTTAGTTTAGTAGCTGAGTCCCACAGCCAGAAATATAAAATGTTCATTTGCTGTTTAAAGGATCATGAAATGAAGAATCAAAATGTTCCTGATATTTACATGTATAAAATGTTACTCTAGAATAAAAGCATACTGAAAGTTTCAAAACTCAAAAGTAACTCCCCAGTTTAAAGGCATGCTTACATGACAACAACGTAGTAGAAATTGCTAAAAAAAAATTTCCTTCGAGTTTTTGAAAGGTTTTATGTACAGATGACAACACTGATCCTAGTTCACACGGATCAGTGAAAACGACTCACAATTTTTCTCAACATGCCCATTAATGTGCGTCATTGATTTATGTAATCATAGAGGTGTGTTTTCAACAACTCATATCTGTCCATTAATCACAAGAGCAATACTGCTGTTAGGTAAAGAAAGAAAAAACTTTATTTATATAATATAACATTTTGAAAACGCATTTCATGACCGTCACATCATATAACCTGTGATTGTGTGCTCATGTACATATGTTCTTTGATCGTTTTTGTTTTTAATGAGAACAAAACATTATAAGCGCACCTCAGGAAACATTAGAAAATAATTTCAAAAATGCATTTCATGACCCCTGTAACTTCACCGAACATACTGTAACATTTTTAAAAGATAAATCAGAAGTGGAAATCTGCACTGAAGTATTAAAGCTTTGTGTTCACTTGCAAAGGCACTGAAATATAGTTTTTCCTTCCTCCTACCTCAAAAATGTTATGATGGAAGTCATCATAACATTTTTGTGAGCGAACAGAATGCTCAGGGAATGCAAACATTTAGCTTGAGAACATGACAGCATTAAAATATTATTTTATTATATTATTATTTTCCCTTGCAATTTTGCATTCCTCAGAAAAACTTTGGGTAACACTTTATTTTGATAGACATTTTACTAAATAAAAGTAACTTTGCAATTACATGCCAACTATCACTCTTTAGAGTATTACTGGACTGTCTGCTTAATATCTGCTAACACTTTATTGTGATGGTCCCAAACACACACTCTACTGACTAGAAGTAACTCTGCAAATACGTCAACTTATTTTATTATAATAGAATGTACTTGCAAAGCTATTTATACTTAGTACTGTAGAATGTCTAAAATGGACTATCGAAATCAAGTGTAACCAAACTTTGCATTCACTGAAAAACATGTGTTCTCTTGAAAACCTATCCAGAGAAACTGCAAAACGTCTGCATTTTTTCACTAAAGTGTTGCATTCCTCTGAAACTTTGCTTTTACTCACAAAAGCATTGCAATACAGTTTTTCCTCCAACCTCAAAAGTATTTATAAGAGAGAATACAAAACTTCTGTGAGAAAAGACAAAGTTTTTCACGGGAACATATTAATTAATTTGCAAACATTATTTTTTTTTTTGCTCATGTCCCTTTAAGGCCTGTGTCCAACATAAATATGACCTTTCAGAACACAGAGTGCAAAAAGAAAAATATGATTACCAATAAAATGTCCCTGTATTTAATCAAAAGGAATTAAAAGAAAATCTATCAGGACTGTACAACTTCTTCAGCTCCCAAAATTATGTCCTACAACTGTCCAGTTGAAAAACATTATTCCAGTACAACACAGTGTTTCTCTTAAAGATAACAACATATCAAAAAGGACACAATTAATTAAACATGAATTAATCATAATAATAATTTGTCCTGTAAGAGTTTCAATTAATCCAGTAGGATCCTTTTTTATTTTCATTTATGATCCAACAATGATTGCTTTGGATTGTTTCCAAATTATGATAAAATTAGAATCCTGTACACCCTATATATACACATTTCACCAGGTATTACAGTTTGTTTGTAAAAAAAAAAAAATTCTGATTTTAAAAAATGTGTTAATTTTTCAGCAACAAGTTCATCACTTAACACATTTCACAACATTCTCATTTCACAGAATTTCCCCCTTAATCAATGCAGAAAATGTGAAAGAAGTGCAGATTAAAGGGAAAGATGCATTTAAAATAATAGTTTTAACCATCTATTATGCAAAATAAAATAAAATATAAAATAAAATATAAAAAAAGTTTCCATCCAGTGTTGTATCATTAAAAAATACTTTAATACTGGCATATACACAATTTAATACTAATACAAAAATGCAAGAAGAACTTAGGCTATTTGTTTGGCTATTTGCTCTGCCGCCCAGGCCTTTCCATGATGCTGCCAATCCAATAACAGTGTTTTGTTGACCTCCAAATGCAGACATCCACACAGACAGATGGAATCACCCTGGTGTCAGTCATCTAGAAATCTGGCATCATGTCTTTCACCGTGACTTCCTGGAAGCAGCAAGGAAACATGAGACCTGGCAACCTGAGACCCCAGATTTAAGGTTCACAGCTGATGAGTTGGGCCAGTCAACACTTGCTGAAAACTAGTAGTATTATATAACGAGTCAAGAAAGACTAAAGTATTCAATTTGTTTAATGATAACTTGATTGTAAACATGTACAAACACACACATTTTCTAGGGAAGGACAACCTTTGGACACAATTTGATGAGAGACGCAAGAGAAAAGATCAGTCCATATCAGCTCATTATAACGACCTTTGGTGGAGCAGCCACTCCAACAAAGACGACTTGTTTACGCCCCCTTTTGTGCACTGCGGGCACTTTGGACACACATCAGCTGACATGCAAACGAGACTGTTGCCCTGGTTACCGGAGCCTATCAAAAGGCCCGGGATTAAGAGGGAGCTTTCGTAGGGACACGAGGGGGGAAGGAGAGGGCTGTTGGCTACTAGACGGCCAGCTTTGCTTCACCCTGGCAGCCTGGGAGGCGGATCTTTGCCATATCTGTGGGCGGATTCACAGACACCTACACTGCGTTACCAAGGCTGCGACTGACATCATGCTTCCTCTTACACATCACACGTTTTTAGAGACACAGGACGTCCTCAACAGCTACGCCGTGATGTACCCGCCCACATCGAATGAGGAAAAAAACCTCCTTTAACTGGCAAATGTTTCACCTTCAATACGAGGCACACCCACAGACAGGATTGTAACAGGCCGACCTTTGCAGAATCGCATTCTTGAGACAAGCAGGAAGTCAACTGAGCTGATCAAAACAATCTTGTCAGCCAATATAAAGGATTATAGTAATCTACTACAACACTTCTGAGGAAATAAAGTGAGATTGTGGAACAAATCTCCATTTTTGGTTGGATAAAGAGACGGAGAGGCCTGTTTCTTTGGCAACCAGTTGCAATTATGGGGTCTTACACTCTTAAAAATAAAGGTGCTTCACGATGCCATAGAAGAACCTTTTTGTCTAAATGGTTCCATAAAGAACCTTTAACATCTGAAGAACCTTTCTGTTTCACAAAAGGTTCTTTGTGGCAAAAGAAGGTTCTTCAGATTATAAAAAGGTAAGAAAGAGATGGTTCTTTAAAGAACCTTTGACTAAATGGTTCTTTGTGGAACCAAAAATGGTTCTTCTATGGCATCGCTTGAAGAACCTTTTGAAGCACCTTTATTTTTAAGAGTGTAGCAGGGCAATCTGCTCTAATTACAATGAATGAATGAATGAAAGAGCGGAGCCTAAAGATTAAGCGGGCATTAATGTGAGTCCAAAAAAAGAACAAACGTGATGTATACAGTGGGTTGGGGCTTTGAAAGATTAACACAGTTTAACAGGTCAAAATGCTGAAGCAGCCAGGTTTAACACCACATGAACATGTTTGTTGATGAGGTGAAGAGAATCATCAAATAATTCATTACAACGACTGACTAACCAGCTAGCTTAAAGATTACTGCATAAATCAATTCACAACAGCAAAATAAGACTCATCAACATTTTTCCATAAGTAATCATTAACATTTCTGAGGTAAAGGATGCTTTCAAAACTTCACTGTTTACGCCCTGTCAACGAAGAGTGTCGATCGCGCCAGTGAAATTCTCAATTGGGTCAACTTTGTTTTTAACATACTTAACATGATACCTGTTAAAGAGAAAGTTTCCTAAAAAAAATGTATTTCTGTCATCATTTACTCACTCTCATTTCAAACCTGTATGACCTTATTTATTTATTTCTAAAATGTTCAGTTTCAGATGTTTTTGTCCATACAATGATGGTCAGTGTGGTCCAAAACAACACTGGACCCTGTTTACTTTCACTGTATGCCAAAAAAAAAAGTAACTTCTTAAAAATAACTTCTCTTGTGTTCCACGGAAGACATAGCCAACAGGTTTGGGAAGACATTAACAACATTTCTGGGAGAACTATCCTACTGTGGTAGCCATGCAATAATTGGCATGTTTCTGCTATTTTTTCATCAAGTAAAGGTAACAATCCCATCTAACATCTATATGATAAAACGTGTTTGTTCAAAACACACAGACTGAAGTCTGAAGTTACAACAAAATCATCTAAACGGGTTTCAATAGAGGCGCGACTGAAATTGTGTTGTGTTTGAATACATTCCATTCAGCTGACAACAGCAAGTACATACTTGAAGGACACGTTACAATACTGATAAATTATATTCCTTATAATGACCCTGAGCGGGATCAGCCTCTGCTTTCAGTGTGACAAGTATTGCAACATATGACAAGCAGGTAAATGACTTCTAAATGAAAGTGAGATGAAAATGGAAAAGACACGCACGAGGAAGACAGTGTTGAATGATTTATGAATCAATGTTTTGTAGGGACAATATCAGTCAATATGTCCTCCAAAGAGTTTACGTAAGGTATTTTTTCAAATTCTCATTACAGTAATGCATCTTTTACTTTTGAGCTTTGTATTAGTCATACCCTAACAAAACAGTATTCCACTGAAAATATAAGTGATCGTTTTCAAAAGTACTTGATTTATTCTCAAAACATTAAACTTAAATATACTAAAG